GGTCTGAATACTTTCCGTACCCACTGTATATATACACACAAACATACACATACTGTATATATATATGAATTAGACATTACAAAATAACTCATTAAAAATCTGCTGAAAATGTTGATATGTGAGTAATTAAATGTATAAAATCTGCATATGATGCAATTACTTATCTTTAATCAAATTACTTATCTTTAATTAACTTGATTAAAATCTTTAATGGATTTACAGTCCTAGTTTTCCCTGGCCTCTCTCAGACTAATGCATACACACCTTGCAGACAGACTGGAACTCCTCGTTCTCCTCATCGTAGCAGGCCAGTAGAAATCCTCCATAGCTGCCTGCTCTCTTCCCCTTCCCTAGATAAGCACCAATCACACACAGATCCACTGTGTCTCCAACACCCTCCAGATAGTCCTTCTTCAGCTGCAGAAACAGATCATTAGAAACAATACAGCAGACAAGCAAATGACAGTTCTGACAGTAGTATAAATAAGAATAAATAGCTAAACTACACTGCAAGAAAACATTTTAAACTATAGCTTTGACATGTTCTGCAGTACAAAAACAAACAAAAAAAACATTATATATATATACATATATAACTATATCCAAGAGGCAAAGCAACTCAAAATTGTCATTACTCTCCCCTTTGTCATTTCAAACCTGTATGACTTTCATTCTTCCACTGAACTCAAAAATAAATGTTTGGCACAATGACAGCCTCAGTCACCCTTCACTTTTACCACACTGTTTTAATACAATGGGAGTGTATAGTGACTGAGGGTGTCATTCTGCTGAACATGTAGTGTTACACTGAAGTAAGTCAAACATGTTTGAAACATAAGGGCTGTGTGAAACCCCCCTTTAGAGACCATGAATTTGGAGATTTAAGCAGCAAAACAGAATCATGGTAAAATAAATTCATGTGACATCTGGGGGTGTGAGAGAGGGAGGTTCATTGTTCAGCAAGGATGAATTAAAATGATCAAAAGTGACAGTTAAAGCCTTTTACATTGTTACAATATTTCTGTTGAATAAACACTGTTGTTTTCAAAAAATAAATGGAGCAGACTGCTGAAAATTCAGCAAAATATTTTTTACTGTTTTGGTGAGCCTAACAGTATGAATACAGTACGAGTATGAGAATACACAATTTTTTTTATTTCACATTACCATGATTTAGCACATTTTTAATAATCCGATGAATAAACACTTGCCAAATAAAGTGTACTTCATCTCATTTGAATATTTTTTCTTTAATTTTGAATTTTATGGATGCATACCAAACAAATATTCACAAATAATGAATAAGTTTGGCATCAGCGCAAGACAGCTGCTTCACATTAGATACAACTGAGACAGAAAACAAGAAACTAATAACAGTAATACATTCTGAATTTGACTGGATGAGACACATTTGTAGAAACCAGCAATTAGTTGAACTCAGTATTGACAAGCCAAGTTGTTTGGCAACCATAAACAAACTACAGTTAAACCAGACTAAAACTAAAACTCATGTTACAATCTACCAAACAATCTAGAACCTAAAAAACAGCCTTCAACAACAGTTTGCAGAGTACACTAAAGATTTCTGCATTTTGTTGTCTTTAAAACACACCATGGATATATCACATTATATAAGGTAAAGCAGAATCTCCACTGTTTGTCTCATTTCTATGGTCAGAGTATATATTCCATCATAACACTGAGCCTTAATGTCAGGATACAGACACAGAGCAAGAGAAAAGCTTAATGGGGTGGAAATTACACTTTAATGACTTACACCTTCCTTCTGACTTTGAATACTTGTCTGGGTTTTATTTTTTAAACACAAAGGATGCGTCTGTCTGTCTGAGACTATAGCACCTTTTGTTCCTGTAGTCTGACTTCATAAAATGTTTTCAGAAATTCTTTTAACTACATAGCATTCCAATGTTTAAAACATTAATATGTCAAATTAAACGTTTTAATCAAACATTAAAAATCACTATGAACATAAACACACTGTGGTGTGCGATACCTTGAGCCAGTTGTGGGAGCGTTTGGCAATCTCATAAGTTGCATGTTTTTCCAGTGTCTTCACCATTAGGCCCTCACAAGAATCTGCAAAACATTGCAAACTCCTTAAATAGAGATTAATTAGAAAATTCTGAATATTACTAATACTGATTATTGAGTAACACCTCACAGTGAGCAATTCAACATTAAATATCAGTCAATTGTCAACTGGTTTTGGACCCACATTTTAAAATGGCAAACCAATACAATACAGTAATAGTTTATTATATAAAAGTCCAAACACAATAGAGCCACAGCTGTAGATCTGTCATTCACACACCTCGTACAGACTGCTCCAGGAACTCAGCAATGCTCTCTGTGTTGTCAGAGTCCAGAGATCGAGCAAAAACAAACTCTCCTTCTTTCTCCTCAAAACTCTCTCGTAACAGAGCCCTGCGTTTGCTTAGAGGCTCTCGCACCAGAGACTGTGACAGACAGACACATAATTCACTAAAATAGCACATGTAAAAAGGAAGATTTCCGAGACATGCAAAATTATTCAAATGTGATTGGCTATGAGCTGTTATCATGGTCTTACCGCTCCGTTGAGGTACAGCAGATCAAAGGCGTACACACACACCTGAACCTTGATCTCAGATGCATCCACATCCTGAAATACACACACAAACTCATGTAAACTTTTAAAGGGGGCATATCATGAAAATCTGACTTTTTCCATGTTTAAGCGCTATAATCCTGTAACGTGAAACGTGACAACCAGAAAACGTGACAAAGCCCAGCCCAGTAACTTTGTTTTGGTAAGCCTTTCTCTGCAAGCATGTGAAAAAACCATAGACTGTATAAAAACATGGACGTAGTGTCCGTGACGTCACCCGTAGGTTTCTGAAGAGCGTTTTTGAAGCTCAAAGTGGGCGGAGCTGGCCGTCACCATCTTGGCAGCGCGTCACCGCACGTCACTCCCGGATAATCGAAAATGGGCAAAGAGGCGGAAGCTGGTTGCTGAAACCACGACCACCTAGCTCGACGGTGGTGACAGCAGCGGCAATCCACCTGTCACTCAAGTGGCCACGCCCTTAATTATGCAGAACTTTAAGGCTTAATATAATTTAAACGGATGAGTTATAAAAAAATTCACCCCCCTCACATTTGTCATGAAGGGCAAAATTAGCTATATAGACCAAAACCACTTTTTGTACCAGGCTGTAAACTAGGGCTGGGTAAAAAATATAGATATCTCGATTTTAATCGATTCTCATTTTTACGAAACAATATCGATTCTTAAATCCCAAGAATCGATTAGTCTAGCCTGTTTACAGTTAATGGACGGAACATTGAAGCGCACCTCCCATCCAATAAATCGCAATAAGCATTGTGCATTGGTACTTTAAATATGAAACAATATGAGTACAATATGAGTACAACTTTACAATCCGTATCCTGTCTCATGTAATCGCTCAATCAGTGTTTCAGCCACGCAAAGACGTCAATATAAAGTCTTGTAAACAATGTCACGTAACGTCACATTTACCTCAGAAAGCATATTTGGTGACCATAAACTCGATAGTCAGCCAGAAAAATAAACTAGAGAGGAGCATTTTGCTAAATATATGTACCATATAACATTCATTAAATTTTTTTACCGTTCTTTAATGTTTTATTTATGTTTGAATAAATCCGTCCAAGCCACTATTTAAATGTGTATGTGTGCACAGCCCTATTCTGGAAAAGTGGGAAGGAAACAGCAGCTAATTTGCATTTCAAGATACATGCACGAAAACAGACTATTTTGCTTACGTTCAAAATAGGCATTTTCAAAATTATATAATAAATAAATGAGCTGTGGGGTATTTTGAGCTTAAACTTCACAGACATATTCTGGGGACACCTGAGACTTATATTATATCTTGAAAAAAGGGGCATAATAGGTGTCCTTTAAAGGGCTTTTAATAAACATCAAGATTTTGATTTTTATATTTAAAATGGTTTAAGATACAGCATGTCACACTGGAGGACATGTCCTCTTCCCAAAAGCTACTGGAATATATATATATATATATATACTCCAAAAAATCCTGGAAATTTTCCAAAATTTCTGGAATATTTTTACAATTTACTGGAAATTTTCCGCCTTTTTGCAACCCTAATATATATATATATATATATATATTAGGGATGTGCATCTCCAT